ACAGGTGCCCGCCACAACGCCCAACTTTTTTTGTTGTTGTTTCAGTTTGGCCGGGGCTGGGGCTTGAACCCACCACCCTCAGTATATGAGGCTGGTATGGATGAGCTCCGCCCTGTTTTGCTGGATTTTACTGGGGTTTTTTTTGTTTGTTTGTTTCTTAAACAGAGTCTCACTTTGTCACCCTCAGTAGAGTGCTGTGATGTCACAGCTCTTAGCAACCTCCAGCTCTTGGGTTTAGGCGATTCTCTTGCCTCAGCCTCCCGAGTAACTGGGACTACAGGCGCCTGCTACAATGCCCAGCTATTTTTTTATTGCAGTTTGGCCAGGGCCAGGTTCGAACCTGCCACCCTCAGTTTATGGGGCCAGCCCCCAAAATCAGTGAGGCACTGCCTGATTTTACTTTTATTTGCGAAGTTGTGGTTGTACATATCCTTCTGTTGGATTCATGTGGTGGGAAGGCCATGTGGCACATTACCATGCATCTCTTCCCAGTGTATGTGCAATGAGCTGGTAGTATGACATGGTCCATGGTGGAAATAGGCAAACACTGCACATAACAGCTTGTCCCTCCCAAGAGCCAGTTATGCAACATTACTAGCATAACACTGTGCAGGGACAGGCTGTGGTCCTGGTGGTCCACCCTGGGGATGCTCCAACTTTAACCCTTTGATCCCATAGGGCTTTGTCCTCTTGCCTAAGACAGAGTGCGATGTGCGGGAAGTAGAGTTTGCCCGATGCCTGCGGCTGCGCCAGACCTCCCTGGAGCCTGTGGCCTTCCGGCTTCCACGAGTCAGGGTGAGATTGGTAGCCAAGGACTCTAATGTCTAGCCCTCTTCTCAGCACCCCTCAGGCTGTGGGTCCTGTCTGACCCTGCCTTGAAATTTCCTTACTCATGTTTGTTGGCAATACCTACCCCCTTATTCTACTGAGATTCTGAAACTCATGGAAATTCTAGACTCAGGGGAGAATCCCAGGTCTTGCCATATTCATCTCCTGATGGACACCAATGTGCCCTGGGCCTCTGGTCTCAAAACAGTCCTTTCTTCCCTCTACAGAAAGAGTTCTTCCAGGATGATGTGTTTCCAGACACAGCTGTGAGCTGGGAGCCAGTGCTTAGCGCAGAAGCCTGGCTGCGGGGTGCTAATGGGCAGCCTCGGCTTCTCAGCCTACAGCCACCGGACATGACCCCAGGTGGACTGAGGGGCCAGATGGGGGAAGGCACCAGGGGTGAGGAGGGTGGACGAAAGGGCAGAAAGCCAAGGCCAGTCTCCTTTCTTGCTGGACTGCAGAGACCTTTGGCACTCCCAGGGATGTGATAGTTGTATCCATACTGTCTCTAAGCCCCTGGAGGGAAGTCCCCACCCCAGACACACACACGTGCAATTGCACACATGCTGGTACCTAGGGCAGGCCTTGTGAACAAAGGCTTCAGTGTCTGTTACATCACCTCTGGGGTCTATGCCATAGAATACCCTAGGATTTAACACCAATGAGCCCCAACCCAGGGACTCTCTGATACCTGTTCTTGCCTTGTCCCAGTGAGCCAAGTGCCCCGTGAGGCTCCTGCCCGTCGAGCCCCATCTTCAGTGCAGTACCTGGAAGAAAAGTCAGACCAGCAAAAGAAGGAAGAGGTAAGCATGGGAGGGAGATGGTTATGCAGAAGAAATGGGGTCAGGCTGTGCCATTGTCCCTGGACAGGGAGAACAGCCACATGTCACATACCCTTCCATGCGAGAGCTTGGTGGGGCATGGGAAGCTGGGGAGGGCAATGAGAGCTCACCCTGGTAAGGCCAAACCCAGCTAATGCTGGAGGTTTGGATCCAAGTGAACCCTGGAGTACATCTGAGTGTTTCCTCAATGTGTTGGAAGAGTAGCTCCTATCTCTGGTGCCATATGTCACAGTCTTCCTCTGACTCTCCTGTCACTGTCTTTGTGTCTTTTTCAATGAAAACTGATCAACTTTGTCAGGGCTCTAATTAAAATGGCTCTTTTTACAACATTGCTGGGATTAAAACTGGAGGGTTTAAATTGCATCAGTTAAAACTCTAATGCTTTTGGAGTTGGGGAGCCCTATTCCCTGTCCACCTCTTCTGCCTCCTTTGCAGCTACTGAATGCCATGGTGGCAAAGTTAGGGAATCGGGAGGACCCACTTCCCCAGGATTCCTTTGAAGGTGTGGACGAGGATGAGTGGGTGAGTGGCAAGTGGCTCAGCTTCTCGAATGGCAGAACCACTCTCCCATGTACCCTGAGGCATCCCCCACCCCCCTTCCTGGGCCCTCTTGACTTCTTGCCACTCTTTTTTATCACCCCAGGACTAGGCTGCCTGCTGACCACCTCTGGCCTCCAGCCTTGCCTGCCACTGCCACCTCCTAGGTGCTTCTGCACACTTCACATCTCATCCTCAAACTGGAAGATGCCTCTCTGGGCTTGGCACCCCCATCCCAGAAACCCTGGCTTCCCATTGGCCCTGGGCACCTCCATATCTGCTGTGGATCTTCTGACCTCTGCTTTCTCTGAGTCTGGCTATTGCTTCTCAACTGCCTTCTAGCATGTGCAGCTAGGGGTGTGGGGGCCTAGGGTGGTCAATAGCATGTCCCTGGGCAGGCCCCGGGTTCCCTGCTGCACTCTACCCTCCTAGGCTGGTTCTACCCTGGGCTGGCTTGGTCCAGCAACCCTCAGTTACTGCACACTGTCCCATCTTGCCTGCTGCCCCAGTTCTGGGCAAGAGCCTTGGGGGCTGGCCCCTCACCAAGCTATCTGGAGCATCACCAGCCTCAGGGCCCTGGGAGCAGTTGCCCTGTTCCCCAGGCTTGCAGCCAGGACTAGGGGCATTGCAGAATTGGTGGTCCAGGAATGGAGCTATTGAGCCCCACAGGGACCAGCTCACATATGCCCGATGTTCTCAGCAATTAAACTTTTTTAAGCTGGCCGCTGTTGTGTTGCTGTGGTCACTGGGCTGGTTGAGAAGGGGAAGGGGATGGGCATGTGGGTGGCCCTAGGGTCCCCTCATCCCAGCCTCACTCTGCTCCTGAGGCCTGGCCAACTGTGTGCTACTGGGAGTACTGTGTCCAGCACATAAGCTCTCAGGAGTGTTCTGGGCAGTGGTCTGCTCCAGTGACTGGGGGATACATGGTTTTCCAAGGAGCTTCAGCATGTTGTAGCCTGTCACTTAGGGAGCCAAATTGCATGCAAGTGAGCAAAAGGGTGTGTGGAGAGGGCTGTGAAGAAGGTAGATTGTATGAAAGGCAGTGACTGGGATGCAGGAGAAGTGGAGTATTCAAGGTTCTGAGAAGGTACCATTCCAGCTGAGAGGAAAGACCTGAAGGCCTGGGAGGAGCCATGAGAAGAACATAGACACTGGTGGGCACTGATGGAGAAGGATTTGGAGAGTTGGATGAAAGAGAAGAAGGGCAGTGGTATAGCACTTAGCCCAAGGCATTTGCCTGTCATGTGCCAGACCCTCTTCCAGGTGCTTGACATCCAAGAGTAGAGAAAAGAGAAGACATCCTGCCCACTGGGAATTCATGTTCTAGTAGGAAGGAATAGATTATAATAGACATAAAAATAAATGAATTGTGTAATATGGTAGGGGGTGAGAAGAGCTTCGGGGAACAAAAAACCACACGGGATGGAGAAAGGCCAGATAAGCCAATCACAGAGCTCACACATTGTATGATTCCCCTTCTGTGAAATGTCTGGAACACATTCTGTAGGGACAGAAAGTAGAGGAGTGGTTGCCAGAGGTAAGGGAAGGAAGATGGGGACTGAGTGCTAGAATTCACTGGAACTAGAAGGTGCTGGTGGCACAGCTCTGTGAACACAGTCCTAAAAAGCACTGAATTGTGCATTTTATTTTATTTTAATTTTTTGAGACAGAGCCTCAAGCTGTCGCCCTGGGTAGAGTGGGCTTAAGTGATTCTTTTGCCTCAGCCTCCCAAGTAGCTGGGACTATGGGTACCCACCAGTACACCCGGCTATTTTTTGGTTGTAGTTGTCATTGTTGTTTGGTGGGCCAGGGCTGGATTCAAACCCTCCAGCTCTAGTGTATGTGGCTGGCACCTTAGCCACTTGAGCTACAGGCTGAGCGGAATTGTGCATTTTAAAATGGCACCGTAGCCACTTGAGCTACAGGCCAAGCCTGAATTGTACATTTTAAAAGAGTGAATTGTGGCTCAGCGCCTATAGCTCAACCGGCTAAGGTGCCAGCCATGTACACCTAAGGTGGCGGGTTCGAATCCCCAGCCCGGACCGCCAAAACAACAATGACAGCTGCAACCAAAAAAT